AACAGTGAATTATTGTAATGGCTGTTGAAATTGGAGGGGTTTATTTCCCGGTATGTGTGGGTTAAGAGGATTTTATAATTTTTATATTTAGCTAGTCAAAATAATAGTAGACTAGTTAAGGAAATGCTCTCAGTTCTGTGTCAGAAGGGACTGCTCTGGCTTCCAGCCTGGTCTTTAAAAACTGAAAATGCACAGCAGGCTGATGTCACTAATTTCTAATTAGGGCCTTGTTGTAGTCCGTATTTGTGAGGACTTATTTTGGTAATCTGCAGTTGAAGGAAGAAAACCCCTCAAATGCTGCTGTGTCTGAGAGCAGGGTGTGTGAGCTGTATAAGGGAAATCCACTGCCACCATGCAGTGGTGGAAATCCAGCCTTCTGAAGCCTTTCCTCTGGCCAGACTTCCATTAGTCTTAGCAAAAAGGTGAAAACTGACTGTTCTGCACATCCAGCTGGAATTCTCCCCCTAAGATCATTGCAGGGATGTGGAAACCAAGCCCAAACAGTATCTGCCATTTGCGATGCTCTGAACTAGAACTGTGTTGCTCTCCATCGGTCTGTAGCAGTAACTGGGCTGCTTCTGTATTCTGGCCTCAGCCAGGGGAATGCACAGGGAGTTTGTTGCCCCTAGATAGCAGAAGTAGAAACTTCCCAGCAGAAATAGAAACTTGCAGTTCTCGATGTGAAAACAATTTTGACTTGAATGTGTGTTTTGTGTGAGTAAGGATTTGAGTTTTACAGATTTTTATAGTCTGTCAGTCACGTGTTCTGTGGTAATGGGTGACAGGTAAGAGAAGGAATGGTCATACTTCCCAAAAGCTCACAAAAGCATTAAGCATTTTAATCATGTTCTTTTTAAGACAGACTGATAAATAGTTGGAATGAGGAGTTAATTGTAGCTGTACAACATCCTTTATTAAATTCTGTATTAAACTAGGCATAATAAATCACTTGCTGGTTTCCAGTCAGTAATGCAGTGGAGGGGGTATGCATTTTCTTTTAATGTGCTTTGAGATGCATGTTGAAAGTAAGGTGTGCTGGAAGAGTTTTGGGGAATGCAACACCTACATATGGGATGCTGTTGCTTGATATTGCTGTGGGGGAGCTGAAGAGGCACTGGGTGCACTGGCAGCCACTGCCTTCTGCTGTTGCATGAGGTTGTGTAACGTGGTTGGGTTTTGCTTGCTTTCTGTGTTGGGCTGTGTGTGGTGGGAACCCTGGGTTCATCACATGCTGTGTGTGCAGCAGCTGCTTTCTCAGCAGCAGAGGGGAAAGGAAGTTAGTGGGTCAGCTGGAAGTGTCCCTGGGGCCAGATAGGATCAACATACCCTGCCAATACAGGTAATCATTAAGGCTTACTAATACAATATGGTGTTGGCAAGATTAAAAAGGTGTGTTTTTTCAGGAGAGTTAAGAGGATTGTGGGTTAAGAGTTTGTGTTAAATCTCTAATAATGGCAGGAGTTTGGGGATAGTTGTTTTAAAAATAAATAAAACCCAGTAAATGCAGCATGGGCTGCTGAAGTTGTAAAGCAGACTGTATTATTAGCCACAGGAGGGTTAAGCAGTTGAACAATATCGACCGTTTCACTCATAAATGGTAATCTATGTCTTCTTATTGCTGACTCAATTTCTGTGGCTGGCTCAGACTTTTCTATTGCTGTCAAATGGTGTTTGGCTATTCTGAATGTGGCCGCACTTTGCTCAACAGTCAGTGCCACCTGGGGGACCCAGAGAACTCCTGCAAGAACAGGGTGGGAATGAGCAGCTGATGAGGAAGGCCCCAGAGAACAGAAAACTTCCTCCATTGGCAGAAAATCCATTTAAAAGACTTTCTTCCTTTTCCAGACGTGTCAGAAATCCTCTGATGGAAGGGGACTGGATTGTGGATTTTAATAAACTGTAATGCATATCACTCCCCCTCTCCTTATCTCTTGCATTTACAGGGTAAAATTAACGAAGTTAACTACATCCACTCAGAATCTTGGTTGTATAAATTGCTGAGATCTTTTAAAATAGAGAAATAATTTCTTGCGGGGTTCATGGGCTTTTTTTTTCAGGCTAGTTTGATTACTTAGATTTATTATCCCCATGATGTATGCTGTTATCTGAAACACTCGGGTGCGCCTTGTGGAGTAATACAAGATGTTCAATTCAGATTAAGCACCACTGCAATGCTCAAAGCAAAAATACTGAAATAATTATAAAATACTATTAAAGACCAGTTTCTAACAAAGGTGGAAAGGAGGGGAGATTCAGAGTTAAAATGTGAGGCAAAATGAAGATAAAGGTGCTTAGAGGGTAGAAATACATAATGTAATTAGCAAATAAAATGTCTAACGCTGCTTGTCTGACAGTCTTTTACTTTTTCACTTCAGTGTCATCATTTTCAACATGGAGCTTTAACTGAAAGAATCTTTAGGGGTGTGTAAAAAAAAAAAAAAAAAAAAAACAAAATACACCCAAAAAGGTGAAAGAATGTGCAATCAAAACATTTAAAAATGGTGCATTACAGTGTATAGTGTTCAAGATAAGGTCTTCAAAGAATGTTTGGAGAGATCAAATGATACATATGATTGTGAGGCTTTAACTGGTAATTATATTTTGAAATTGCCAGACAGGTAAGGTTGACATTAAAGATAAGCTTAAATTTAGGGCTGGGGTAAGGCTTCAGCATCCAGTTTGGTTTTCACTGAATTGCATGTTGTTTTTCTTAGTAAACTTTTCTGCAGATTTAAATTAAAACTTTTTTTTTCTTTTTTTTTTTTTGGTTTGTGTTTTTTTTGTTTGGGGGATATTTTTAAAAATTAAAAATAAAATAGAAGGTTTTTTTTTTTTGTTTGGAAATATTCCTTATGTTTCCTGTGGTGATTAAACTTTAATTTCTTTATAATACCTGCTTAGTGTTGGGCTTGCACCTGGCCTGTGCCTCCTGTGGTACCCCATGAGCAGGACCTTCCAGGCCGTCTCCGTCCTTGTGTCTCCTGAAAGGCAGGACATGCTGTGCTTTGTGAAATGTAATTCAAAAAGACTGTGGTTTATCTGGAAAATAAGGTGATATGTATGTTACTAGAGCTTTCCTGTAACATTGTAGCAGCATTTCCAAATGGAAAACTTCAGATTTTTGAAAGACTTGTGTTTTGATTTTTTTTTTTCATCAATAGAATTCTGTTTCCCATTTTGCACAAGTTCTCATTATGCACAAAAGCAATGCTAACAGAGACTTATCTCCCAGGAGAAAAGGCAAGAGCATCTCATACATGATCCTGATACAAATAATTAGGCCCACAATATACACAGCATGGTAATATGGGGTTAAGCATGGCATGAAGGCTCATGTGGTGGCCAAGAAAACAAGGAGAGCATGAAGATTTTGAACAGCTGTGTTGTCCGGGCATTTAGTTAGGTCTCTCTGAACACACACGCTTGAAAAACCAGTTTAACAGCAACATGTGCTGGTGGAGCACAAAGACAAGCAAGTAAGTCTGGGTACGTGTTGGGAATCCTTCAAGGAAACAGACATTCTCATCTTATGATACTTCTCCAGGGCATCAGGGATGAGGTGTCCAGAGTTGCAGGGCTGCAGGTAGCATTCCTTTTGTTAATGACTAATCCATACCAAAGGAAGTCATACTTCTATTTCAGACAACCTGTAACCTTTTTATTTGGGTTGTCTTGGGCTAGGTTGTTTGAGAGAAGCATTCTTCTGTTTGGTTTGTGTGGTGTCCAGCATGAGTGAAGTTCGCTAAGAGCTGTTGCAATAAGGGCAAGAGGTGTCTTGTACTTTAAAATTTCACTTTAGAAAAATACTTGCTCTAAAACTCCCATTAAATTCACATAGAGACAAAGTATTTAATGTGACTACTGGTTGAATTGTACTGATTACTGGACCCATTAACATAGAAGGAACACTTCTGAAAATTGGCAGTTTTAGAATATAAATTGTTTCTTTGTTAAGTGAGTTATTGTAGGAACTTGTTGATCTGTCTGTGTTTTGGGTAGTTACTAGTTTCACCTGAACCTTAGAGAAGCTGGGTGTTTGTTATCACTTAATTGTTTTTATTATGTTCTGCTAAGAACACAGAAGCCCTTTATTTTCTATTTGTTGCTGTGAAATTGTTTCAGTTTTCCAGCTTCACAGATATACAGATACACAGATACAGCTATCAATGTTTTTTAATTGTGCATATTTATGGTTTTGGTGTTTTACAAGATTCTGGAGGTTAAGACTCTCAGCTCTCACCTTTCTCTTTTTGTTTGCTGCTGATGGAAACACCTTAACAGCAGCAAGTAAACTGCTGGCAAAGGAATTGCAGCACTATGATAAAGCTGTTTCTAATCTAAGTGCTTCTCAGTTGAGAATTGCAGTATGAGGAAAAAACATACTCAAGGCATCAGTCAATTGTAGCTTTTTTCTGATGTACTGTATTTGCAACTATATTTGAGCTGAGCACAGCGAAAACTTGGCCTAATTGCAAGGACTGGAAAAAGAAAATAACTTGCACTTTTTTTTACCCTGAATAAATGGTTATTTCTTCAAGATGAAATGGATACCTGCATTATGGAAGAAAATAATAACAGTACTATGTCTGTGTTAATTAAGTAGTTGGAAAAGAATACAGATTTGTCATTGAATATTCCTAGACTTCAGATCACACACTGGAGCATATTCCTGATAGCATTAGTGCTAAAGGGAATACTTTTCATTTTGATGATACTTTTATTGCTACCTTCCACTTCCAAGAATTTGTATAAGATTTTGGGTACAGTCCTGTGCAATAGTATGCTACAAGTAAGCCTTTGTAATTCTGGAGTATTAAGTATAGAAAATGACACAGGGTTTCATAATTTATTTGTAATTAATACCAACACCAAATTGTTTATGATATGAAAAAGATACATATTACTTCTGTGAGACTGCATGTAAATATATATATATTTAGGCAATATTGGTTTTGTAACATTGCCGACTTCACTTCTAACATACTGTTTTTTCATCTTAGGTCTGAGGGTAACTGTGTTACTAACATCATCCCTCATGGTATTGGGAGCTGGCCTGAGATGTGTTCCAGTTTCAGACCTAGAAATTAGGAAGAAGTAAGTGAATTAGTTATTTTTAACATACATATTTTATGCTGTCTGCTAATGCAATTTTTGCTTCTTCTGCAGAGAAATGTTAGTACAATTTTTCTGCATCAGTTTGATACACCAAACGTTTATTGTGTAGATGTGGGCTTACATGCTTCTTTGCTTCTTAAATGGATTTTTCTAGTTCTTCGACATAGAATCTGAAGATCAGAAAGCTCTTTATAAACTTGAGTTAATTAAGTCTCACCCCATCCCACATAGCTAATCTTAATCTGCTTTGCAAACAAGGAGCAGAGATTTGGAGAGGTTCAGAAACTGGCCTGAGATCACACAGGGAATCATGCCACAGAACCCCAAACTATGTAATTTCTATGCAAATGTTATATAATTAGTTCATGTTTCTCATATTGGTTGTATGGGAATGTGCAGTGAGACAGATGAATTTACATAAAATGGGCTTTCTCATGTAGTCTCTTCAGTCTGTATTCCAAAGCAGCCTTGTACTTCTCTGTGGTTGAAATGAATGAGCTGTATACACATGCGATGTAAGAGTTTGTGATACAGATTCCTTCCTAAAAATCACACAATCCAAACAATTCAATTGTCCTGTCAACATGTCCTGAACCTGGGAATCCTTAGTAAGTACAGGTGTTGCACTCAGTTTATACAGTCAGAGAATATGGATCACTACTTGTTCTCTTAACTTTCTTTTTCCTCATGCTAAAGGAGGAAGGAGTACTGGCATTGCCACATTTCTCTGCTTCTTTAAAAACAGTACTAGCACTAGCTCTTCACTAGTTGTCCTTGAATAATATGTAAGCCGTAAGAACTTAATTAGAAAAAGTTTTTGTGTTTAGTTCCCCTCCCTAAATTCTGATCAGCTTCTAGGCAGTCCTTGTATTATCTCAGAATGTTCATGTTTTCCCTTAGTATTGTCTACCCCTAGCCTGAAAATCATTTTGGAAACCTTTAAGTTGAGAAAGAAAATGTTTGGTGTGAAGTAGAAGGCAGATGACTGGGTACTATGGATAAAGGGTTACCAAAGGAAACGGTTCACAGAGAAGAGTAAGAGAATGTAATAAATGCATTGATTGTAAAACTAGCCCCAATCAGGAGTAAGTAGCGAGTATGTCATGAATGACTTCATAAAACTAAGTGCAGTGTGGCAAGTAGGGGGGATGCAGTTTTGGGTCTTAGGTACAAGAAAGTATAAGGATAAGGAAGCACCCAAGGTGCCCCTGATTCCAGCCACCCATTTCAATGTAATGTTCAAGGACTTCATGAGCAGGGGAGGCTGAACTAACCATATTGTGCTACCATTCACAGTGACCCTTTAAAGGCAAAAATGTACTATTAAGGTAGCCAGGAAGAGCTGTCCGCATTGTGCCTTTACTTTACCTTTTCTGAAGATGCAAAGGGCTGCTCAACATCCAGGTCATCTGTTCTGACCAATCTTGGATTAAATATGTATTTAATTTTTTTTTAATGGGCCAAATGAGTTGAATGAAATGTGATGTCTTACATAGCTTTTCACTTAAGATTTGTGCCCCCCTAGGCTTTACCAAAAAAGGGTGGAGATAGTAACAACCCAAGAAGAAATTCCCAAATGAGATTCAAATGTGAGGTGTCATCTGGGGAGTGGGAAGGAGAATTTCCACATGTTCTGATCACCTTTAAGCAAGGTTTTCAGGTTTTCTGGTTTAACTGCAGTGAGGAGGCCTAGGAGACCAATGAAATAAACACCTAAGGGGAAACATTCAAAAAAAAAAAGGCTGTGGACTGATGAAATAAAATATGATGGTACATTTTACTGAAAACTGTACAGGGAAAAGAAAAAAGAGCATGAGCAGAATCCTGATGGAAAAGGTTGTTAATTTCATTTATTCACAATGTGAAAATGTGCATCATCTTGAGAAATTTTCAAGAATTGCAGCTCTACCTGAGGAAAATCGTTTGATCTTTTATACAGTTTGGTTAAAAATCTAGAGAGAATTAATTACAGCTAACTGCATGAAGCAAAAGGATGTTTTTCAGTGAATGATCTATTCTATGAATGTTTCTTGAGACATTGTAAATAATTGTACAGACTGTGTGATGTTATACCAGGTAACCTCCATTGTTTTGAGAGCTAAGGCTGAAGGCCATTTTTTATCAATTACTTGAAGCGTGGTACCAAATGAAGTCGTATTTTTTGAGATTAGCATTACTGCTTAATGCATTAGCAACAACTGGCTGAGCACTTATTCTGAATGTGTATATGCGTTATTGCAACAGTTTAAACATTACAGAACCAGATGTACAAGATCATACACAGGCTAATACTGGAGCATTTTGGAAGCCAGTGTAACTGGAATTTCTTTAAATGCTTTTGCATGCTTTGTAGTATGTTCCTTCAGTCCCTAGGTAATCTGCAGTAATATACCAAAGGATTTCAATGGGGCAATTATGTCAGAGTTAAGATACATAAAATTACAAGAATGTTCATGAGGTTTGTCAGGTTTAGGTTTGGTTGGGTTTTTTTTTTCCTACTTTGTAGCTGTCTCTGCTCCCTCAGCTCTTGTAATTTAACATTAAGGAAAGCTACTAAAGCCCATTGCCTATCAGAGCAATCACAGACATAAAGAAATCACCGCTAAGACTGACATTTAATCCTGACTGCTTTATGCACCTTATCTAACGCAGACCTGTAATATCCAAGTGTGTTCTTCTGCTCCTTTCTAGTCTGTAATTATTCTTTTGGCTCTAGTGTGTAGCAGCAGACTAAAACTATCTCAAGTTCTCTGAGTCATGTTTTAAACACAAACCTTAACCTCTCATTTCAGTTCACTTGATGCTTGTGTATGTGCGTGACTTGCATGAGGGAAAATTGAGGCTGCATATTTGAGTGTGTCTTTTGAAGCAGCTGTTCCTTATGCTGAATTTTTGTTCTCTGCCAGTGTGTGACCTAAAACTGTACTGGGAATCAGTGCCAGAACTGCATAAATTCAGTGAAGGCTGAAGTGGGAGTGCATGATGAAAATGTGGAAGTATGGACTAGCATGTGAGGTTGAGGAACCATCCTATACATGGAGTAGTAATGTGCTTACCTACCTACTTTCCTCTCTAGCCCACTAATCTGTGAGATTACTGTGTACATCACACAGACACTGAGGTTAAAAAGAGTTTTTCTTATGTACCGTGCACTTCTGGGTTTGTCAAATGTGCCAGATATGAGGCAATGAATTTGACTTTTTAAAGTTAAGGCTTAAGTTATGATTCCTTTCTAAGTTTCTTTCTTTCTAACTTTCATAGTTAATGTAAATTATATAGAACATTAAAAAAAACATGTTATCAACTTAACCATTCCTGAGCTTGTACCTTCTTCCCTTCCCTGAAGGTTACAAGAGCATCAGTAATGCTTTTTGATGTGTTTTGTCCAGTCGTTTCCTTTTTGACTGTTGCTTGGTGCTAAGTGAATATTTCCATTGGACTATTTTAGAATTTCATTTTTTATCCTCAACATTATCATTACTAGGAAGCCATTTTTTTATAGGCAAAATCAGGATTGGTTCCCCCCCATATAACACTTCATATTTATCGCATATTCTGTGTTTACAAATAGATGCACATACATCTTAGGTCTTCCATATGACTGTAAAATAATAAATCTAGGCAAAAAGCTGTATGAGCTGAAATTTACAAGAAGGAAGGAAATAAATGATGAAATCAGCCCATAGCCATAAATTTGTGGCTTTCAAGACTGACTGTGTGATGTAAGACTTCTTAAAATATTTTGAAAGACAGGATAATTAAAGACATGGAAGTAAAAAATGTCATGTAATTTGTCATTTGTATTAAATATATCAAGCAATTTACTACAATGTGGTATGCAGCGAGCTGGTAGTGTTTGGCCTTCACATTAGATTTCACAACAGTGAAGTAGTTACTGGGGACCTTGAGTCAGGCAGTGAGAGGGTGCTCCTTGGCAATAAATCCCATAAAAACATTTGCTGGGAAGCCAGCAAAACAACAACATGTTGAATGACAATAGAAACAGGAGCAGTTATTTATGGAATCAGTTATGGGGGTCACACCAATAATTTAGATCCTGTAAACAACTTTTTGTTGTTTAATAATACTACTACTTAGGATTTTTTTTTTCCATACATTGATGTTAGCTTTTCCATTTATTATATTTGAAAATTCACTCTTACCACATTTTTAGTACATTTTGTTTCTATTAGGTAGTTGCAACCTAGTTTGTGTTTTATTCTTGTTAGACTTATTCTTTAATAGTTCCATGTTATGTCTTTTTCGTCCCTGAAAGCCTGAACAATGACACGGGATCATCTTCTTATTTGTGTTTTCTAATCCTAAAGCAACCATGATCCACCATTGGATGGAGGCAATTCCAGTAAAGACAAGACACACTAGGATTCTTATATTCCTTGTCAATACTCAACACATTTACATGCTCAAAAATCCTACTGTAGACTGAAGCAGCTGTGAAGAAGAGGGAATAAAGTGTTCCAGGGGATGAAAAAGCTCTTAGAAGAGGATGGTAGAAGGCTCTGCCTCTAAGAAATAAAGACAGAGTGTGATGCAACTTGTGTGCTCTCTAACTCATTGGGGAAGTGGAATGAAAAAAGCATTTAATATAAAGTGTGGTACTGGGGGTAAAGAGATGAATAAACATACCTATTTGTATGGTGTAGCTCAGTGAGTGTAGGAGGAAGATGTTAAGATGAAGCACTTGCCTGGTACTGATGGCAGTTGCTGGTTTGTACTTTGCCTGCAATGCTGTGAGAAAGCTGAGCTGGGTTAATCCCTAGTACCAGAAAAAGAAGTAAGTGGGGAAAAAAGGCAGCAGGTCATTCACAGGTAGGTTCTCGTGGGGAATATTTAATTTTTATGCCCATGTAACTTAGTAGTTTAGCTTGTTTTTATTACCCCCACCATCTTTATCTTATACACAGGTTTTTTTTTTTAACCTCTACTCCAAAGCTGCTGTTTCAGATGAGAGGTCCTGT